TTTACGTTATTTACGGCAAATAATACGGCACATGCCGTAACCGTATTATTTCTGTTTGGGAATTCCGACGACAAGTACAGTGACATGTCCTTTCAAATTATTTTCTATATTAAACCAGACAAAGTGAACATTGTGTTACACATTCTACATTTATCTATTACTATGGGATGGGAAAATTGGTCCTGGTCCTAAATTAGTTGGTCATGGCCAATAAAAATAAACAATTTTTATCATGTGAAAATTTTTTAACAAAAGTTTTGTTTCCATCCAATTTTTTAGGCAAAGTGTAACATGTGTTGTTTCAGGATCTTGAATTTTGTGAATTAATCAAGCTATCCTCAATCAATGAATTGATTCATTGACAATTGTTCTATCATCAATTAACTCATTGTAATTATCATAAAATTCGAGTCTAATGAAAAGGACAGGGTACAGGCGAATTTTGCAGATCCCTGTCCCCTGTCCTTTTCTAACGTCCCATAAAATTCACCTATTGCAAGTTATTGTTTTATTTTTTCTTTATCAATTACAAAGGAGAAAAAATTTTTTAAAGAAAAAAGTAACCTGATAATTATAGTGCATTAAATAATCACTAGATAATTCCAATCAAAAGATAACAGAAACTGACAAAAAAAAAAAATAAAGGCATACAAGTTCATACATTGAAAGATTATGTTACTTGCTGTTTTAGTCATTTATTTCATTAGACAATAAAAGTAAAAAATCTTTTAATAAGAATTATCAATACAAAATGCACTTCTTTGTGGCATCTTTTCCCACTGACATATCTCATTTTAACAACCTCTTCAATTGAGGAGAATCAGGTAATTCTCTAATATACTTGCATTTTTTATTTTCTAAATATTTTGATTGACCTATATAATCTTCTGCTAAAATTTTGACACGTTCCTATAAATATAAAATGTGATGTAATCATGAACATAGTTCATCATAAAGTTTAAAGCAAATATGAAAATATAACATACTGTATACCTCTAATGTGATAAAATGAGTAAGTGTTGAAACCAATAGTGGGAATGTTGGTCTATCAGTTACAATATTAGTTTTCAACAAAGGCCAAGTTCGATAGATCCCCTCAAATTCAAGATCCATTGTAAATGACTCCACAGCATTACCTAGATTTTCAAATGAACAATTCAGTGCATATGTCATAAAAAAATATAAAGAGAGTAAGTAAATTTCATGATACCCATGTTAATAAAAAATATTGCTTGATCAGGACCATTTTTGTTATTTATAAATGTATTAATGGTTTTTTTCGCCCTGAAGTTGACCTTTAAATAATCCTTATTCCTTTGTAATTGTGTGAAGCCAATTGGTTTGACTTCAGAATTGAGAACTGGGATGTTATCTACAGTACAAGCAAAATCTGGCCTTTTTTGACTCCCATAAACAGTACGATTCAATTTCAATTTATAATTTTTATAAGGTCCACTGAAGATGGGTTTAAGGAATGGATCTAGGTATTGAAATCTATGTTCATCTTCAGAGATCTGCATTGAAGCTGTAATTGGAATATCTTCACTTCTGAAATGTATTAAAGAAAATTTGGTTTTTTTATATTAATTATATTAAAAAGATTTGAAGGAGTTAACTTACAAGTTGTCAAAAATTCTTCTAGCTATGTTACTGTATTTAATAGTATTGTCTGGATGAAAATCACTTGCTAAGCCCAATGATTTTTTGCATGTGGAATCATATAATGATGATGATAAATTTGTACTTAATACCGGTTCCTTCAATTGGAATGGATTAGCCTTAGTTATTTCAAGCCATTCATCAGTAGTAAAGTTATAGTATGGGCAAGGCCAATCAAGAACTATTATTGACCCTAAAGCTCTAAACAACAGAAAAAAGATGTCATCACATAAATATATAATATAACATCACCATAACGTTTTAAAATGCTTAATACTTACAATATATCAATAGTATCATTCCAAGTTAATTTTCTAGTGCCATTCTCAATTTCGTAAAGAAGATTGTATTGGTAATCTTTAAATTTTCTTGTAACATTTATTTTGCCCACTTCCCACTGAAACACAGAAACAAAAGTGAGCAAATTCAGATTATATAATAAATGCAAATCAGAATTTTCAATTACTATATACTTGTTCTTCACATTCAATTCTCAATTGTTGTTCCAAATTATTAAAATCAAAATTTATTTGATTATTAATTTCATGGTTGTCAGATTCTTCCTTATCTTCATCTATAAGCTCACCACAACCACCACCACCACCATAATCACTCTGATTAGCTTTAGTATCATTAAATTTATTACAAAAGGAATAAACCATTTAGAATAAAATCAAAACATCTGACAGAATTTTAATGCATATAAGAAATCTTACCTTCAATTTCTTCATCAAACGTTTTGATTTTCTTATAAGCTTCATATTCATGTTCTGCTGCTTGGTCCTATTATTTCAAAAATATTAGTCAGAACATATTACAGCCTTTTTGTCCAAGTAAAAAAAAGCAACTGTATCTTAAATGAGAGGTAAAAATTATTTGCAGGATATATTTGTACCAATTCTTCATTAACAATTAAATATTCACCACTTGCTGATAGTACACGTTTTTCAGGTACCTTTAGTAAAAAATAAGCAATAAGCTATATACAGTCATCATGTTTATTATTTCTAATAATTAATTAAAAAAATACCAGTTTATCATTGACATTCTTAATGGAGGAATTGACATTTTCAATAGCTGTCCCAAAAACTTTGTTTGTCCTATGTATAATGGTCATAGAAGCTTCAAGCTATAGTTATAAAAAAATATAGTCAAGTAGGTTCAAACTTGATTAGGCGTCCATAAAAATTGGTTAAATAAAAAACCTCATTTTGTCCTATTTCAATTTTTTTCCAAAATATATCAACATTTTTGAGGCTCTTCCGATGTCCCTATTGAATAAATATATCAATTAATATATCATTTCTTTCGTATCTCCTCAAGCATGACTGGAGACAAACACAACGGGCACGCAGACCATAAGGTAGACAGCAAGTATGCAGGTACAAATGGGCACGCAGACCATAAGTAGCGGCAAACAGGTATCTCCGTAGTTGTGTGAGTTTCTAGATTCCTTTCTGCAAGAGAAATCATTGCTGCCTCAAATGCAGCACTTAAATAAGTCACAAGAAGATCCAGCGCGCAGAATGGATCTTAGTGAAATGTATGGCTTCCCTCTGCCAACCAGCCATGCAAAAAACGATAATATTAAAAAATTTAATAAAAGTATTGCCTTAAAAACTTTATCCAGTTGACTTGCTGCCTTCTTCCTTTCTTTTGTACCAAATTCAATCAGATGCTCAAGATCCTTTTTTAATCTGAGAGATTCCTTACGAAAGTTAAATGTAAAATCTATTTGCTTTGATCTATGAGTGTAGAAATCAAGAAAAGAATATTCTCGAGGATGTACTTTATTGAAGTAGGTGCTTAACATATTTAGTAATAAAATATTGATTTAAACGCGCGTATATAATAATCAAAACAATATTAATATAGTGGACATTTGTTATTGAGTATTCCAAATTTTGTGATACCATTCTCCCAAAAAATCACACAACAATTAATTTTTATTGGCCGAAACATTGTAATGCATACCAAATATAGATTATTATTATCACATAACAAGTTTTTAAACGAAAACGTGACAGTGAGCTTCGTGTCTTTTACTCACACAACGACATCACTCAGGTCAAGACA